GGCCCGCGGGTCGGGGAGGAGGCCTTTACCAAGGAGCCAGCTACCAAGCCCCCCGCTCGTTTCAGTCCCCCGCTCGCCTGGAAGGGGACTGACGACCCGCTGTGCAGACCGGGCAGCCGCGGGACGATTGAGGAGGGGTCGGCTGTGTCATGGCGCCACCCGGCCACAGGGTTCCCGAGCCCCTCAAGGGCATCCCCTCTGGTTCCCCCACTCCGGTTCGCAGGTTAACGCTTGTCCCTTTCCCAAACGCAGATTGATTTCATCCCCGGACTCCCCGGTCTCCCCGAACTCCCCGAACTCCCCGAACTCACCGAGAGGCGCAGCCCAGGCGGAATGCTGTGGCAGAATCCAGAGCAAGAAGACAGGGCTGAACGTGGTCTCCACAGTCCCCACCATCGCGGCCAGAAGCCCAGAGGCGATCCCACGGGTAGTGCAGTCCAACCTGGTCCGAGCGCGAACCGAAGGCTGAATCGCGAAAGTGTCTAGATCGGGATTCATATCTCGTGGCTCCGCCCACCTATTACGCAGGGCCGTAATTCTTGTAATATTTCACCCCGCCCCAACCAGGCCCTCCTCACCATAACTTTTGCCCTTTACAGACCCAATTCCAGAATCACTACTCTTGCGCTCAAAAGGCACAAACTTCCAGATAGAAACTAAACAAGTCATGGGATGCAATGCAGAGCTGGGTGACCAACCGTAATTAATAACACTCTCTGCATATTGAAGGCTTTTAGAGGAGTAGATCTAACACTTCTCATCACTAGAAAAAACATTGTAACTTTGTGTAGTGGTAGATGTTAACTAGACTAACTGTGGTGATATTTTCACAATATATACAAATATCACATTATTATGTTGTACATCTGAAACTAATATAATGTTATATGTTAGTTATGTCTCAATAAAAATAGAAAAACAGCCCTCACCGGTTTGGCTCAGTGGATAGAGCATTGGCCTGCGGACTGAAGGGTCCCAGGTTCGATTCCGGTCAAGGGCATGTACCTTGGTTGCAGGCACATCCCCAGTGTGGGGTGTGCAGGAGGCAGCTGATCGATGTTTCTCTCTCATCGATGTTTCTAACTCTCTATCCCTCTCCCTTCCTCTCTGTAAAAAATCAATAAAATACATTTTTTTAAAAAATAGAAAAACAAAACTGGAATTGTGTTCTCTCGCCGTCCTGAAGGCTAGCATTAGAGAGCAAGGTGTCGGCAGAGCCCTCTCTCTCCTGGCTTTTGGTTGTTCCTGGCAGCTTGGCTGACAGCTGCTAAGGCCAATGTCTGCCTTGTTGTCGCAGGGCCTTCTTCTGCTCTGTGTCTGCTTTTCCCCCATGGCGTTTTCCCTGTCTGCTCCTACAAGGACAGCAGCCATATTGAATTATCATTCACTTGGTGCAACTACTGTGGAAAACGGTGTGGACTTTCCTCAAAAAATTAAAATGGAGCTGCCATTTGACCCAGTGATCCCACTTCTAGGAATATATCCTAAGAAGCCTGAAACACCAATTAGAAATAATATATGCACCCCTATGTTCATAACAGCCCAATTTACAATAGCTAAGGTCTAGAAACAGCCCAAGTACCCATTGGTAGTTGAATGGATTAAAAAACTGTGGTACATGTACACAATGGAATACTATGGAGCTCTAAAAAAGAAGAATCTCTCACCGTTTGAGACAGCATGGAGGGACCTGGAGAGTATTATGCTAAACGAAATAAGTCAGTCCGAGAAAGACAATTATCATATGATCTCACTCATATGTGGAATCTAATGAACAAAACAAACTGATGAACAAAATATATCCAGAGACATTGAACATACAACAGAGTGACATATTTCAGAGGAGGGAGGCAGGAAGAGATTAACCAAAGAACTTATATGCATATATGCATAGCCCATGGACAGATAATAGTACAGGGAAGGCCTGGGGAGGGAGTGCAGGTGGGGTGGAGGTGGTCAATGGGGGGAAAAGGAGACATCTGTAATACTTTCAACAATGAAGATAAATTAAGAAAAAATTAAGTCCATGAAAATAGTGAAAAAAAAAAAGAATTAGCATTCACCCTGATGACCTTATTTTAACTTGATTACATCTACAAAGATCTTGTTTCTAGATACGGTGACATTCACAAGTACCAGGAGTTAGGACTTTCACATTTCTTTTTTTGGGGGACACAAGTCAACCCATAATAGAAGGCATGTAACTGTCATTTTCCACCTCTCAAAAGAATAATTTCTTCTTTTTATTTTTCCTTTCTGAAAATCACTTTTCCTGAGATATAAAACATTACTAGTATATTAGTTTCTTGTGTATAAGATTTCATATTTGTGTATATTATTAACTAAGACACCCTGTGCATTACATCCCCTGACATTTATTTTATATTTCAAAGTTTGTACCTTTTGACCACAAGAAGAAATGATTGTTTTATTAAAATTTATTTTTCAATGGGAGTGACAGGCAATATTATATTAGTTCCAGGTGTACAACATAACGATTAGACATTTATATACAGTAAGAAGTGATCCATTTCTTTCCTGTGAGTGGTAAAGACGATTCAACTGTTTACTTTGTTTGGAACACTTTCTTAAACTTCTTGTACTTTTTTCTGAATCAAGGGAAATGGGCTAGTAGCCATGGTCTCAGGAACCACCACCGGAGCAAGGCAAGCATGGATTCCATGTCTGTCAGTTTGAAGATAATGCAAAGGCTGTGCCAGCACAGGTCCTCATTTAATTCTCTATGCAGAACACCTGGTCGGCCAAAGGATGTCTGAGACCTGGGCAAGGTGGCTGCTGGCAAAGATGGTGTGGACTAGGTGTCTATTAAAGATGTGATGGTCACACTCTCAGGAGACCATCCCATCATTGGCCGCACAATGGTGGTCCATGAAAAACGAGGTGACTTGGGCAAAGGTGGAAATGGTGAGAGTAAAAAGAAGGGGAGAGAGGATGCCAGACATCGTTTGTCTTGTGGTGTGATTGGGCTCGCTCAGTGAACCTTCCCTAGGACGAGGTCTGAGCCCTAGTAACTCCCCTGAAATCTTGTTAGTTGTAGAAATTTAACTTGACAAACAGTAAACACTGTAACCTTTAATAAGCCCAGTACCCCTCTGACACCAAACATACTTATTACAATATTATTGACTATAGTCTCTCTGCTCGACTTTACATGCCGGTGCCTATTTTTGTAACTGGCAGTTTGTACGTCTCAATCCCTCGTACCCTTAGCCCACCCTCCAACCCTGCCCACTGGCGACCATCAGTTCGTCCTCTGTATCTGTGAGTTTGTTTTGTGGATTTACTTTGTGTTGGTAGTTTCCACATGCAGGTGAAGCGATATGCTATTTGTCTTTCTGTCTGACTTATTTCATTTAGCAAAACACTCCCCAGGCCCATCCGTGTTGTGGCAAATGGCAAGATAAGAAGGAATGATTCTGAAAGTGGAAATGGAGGTGGGAAAAGATAGGAAGGCCAGGACACAGGGTGAAGGGCTGAAAGAAAGGAAGGAAGGAAGGCCTAGTTTGAGATATTATAGGAATTACGGCCCAGATGTAACAGGTACTTCCTCCTCCTCCTCCGCCCTCCCCTGGCCCGGCCCAGGAGCCTCGCTGAAACCTCGTCTCCTCCCAATGCCCCGCTAAACCCTCTGCGTACTGGGAGCCAGGGACAGTAGGAAATGGTACTTAACTTCAGTTCTGGGTTAACCAGCCAGATTCTCGGGGCAGAGCGCGCAGTGGGGCGGTGGCGGGGAGAGGGGAGGGAGGAGATGGGTGGCTGTGTGCTTAAGACGGGCCCAGGGACGGGTTTGAGAACTTTCCTGTTGCGCCGCCGCCCCCTCCTTAGGCCTCTCCACGGGCTCCTTTCTGCCTGGAGAGTCCAGGGCTGCCTGTCCCCTTCCAGGCAAAAAGAGGAACCGGAAAGAAGGGGAGAGGGAGTGGGGGGCGGTTGTTGGCTGCAAAAGTAATCCTGGCAAGTGGGCGGTTGGGGAGAGGAGCGTGGGGGGATGGAGGGAGGGCTCGGCAGGAAATTATATTGAAGGACTATGACCCTGGCCCAGTCCACAGAGCGCTTCTCAGGACCTGGGAGCCCGGGAACCCCTGGCTTCAGGACAAGGGTGTTTCCTCGGGGTAGCTGCCCACAGACAACCGCATGGCCGCACTCCACTCACACGACTTCCCACACAAACCCTCCATCATCCATCGCTAGCCACCCTTGCACCCAAGGGAGTGCTTTGCCAGCTGCTCATCAAGGAACCTGCGGCCCCAAGCCCCCAAGCGCTCACTTCACAGGCGCCTCTCAGCCACTTCCCCCAGGAGCCACTGCTCCCCTCCCAGCTCAGCGGTTTTATTATCCAGATCTTCAGTCCCAAGCAACCAGTGCCTCCAGTGCCTTCCCATCAGCGAAGTGACCCTAACCCAGTGGTTTTATTACCCAGATCTTCAGTCCCAAGCAACCAGTGCCTCCCCATCTTCGAAGTGACCCTAACCCCTTCCTCCACCAAGTGGCACTTTACCCCTCGGTTTTATTATCCAGATCTTCAGTCCCAAGCAACCAGTGCCTCCAGTGCCTTCCCATCAGCGAAGTGACCCTAACCCAGGGGTGGGCAAACTTTTTGACTCGAGGGCCACAATGGGTTCTTAAACTGGACCGGAGGGCCGGACCAAAAGCATGGATGGAGTGTTTGTGTGAACTAATATAAATTCAAAGTAAACATCATTACAAAAAAGGGTACGGTCTCTCCCAGCTCGTGGTTTTATTACCCAGATCTTCAGTCCCAAGCAACCAGTGCCTCCCCATCTTCGAAGTGACCCTAACCCCTTCCTCCACCAAGTGGCACTTTACCCCTGTCTCCTGAGGACACACCCAGCAAAAGCCTCTGCACCTGGCCCCCTGAACCTGGAGCAGGAGGGACAGGAAGCACATTTCCCAACGTATGGCCCTGGGAATGAAGAGCACTCTCTCTCTACCCTTTGGTTCCAAACCCATATTTTCCTATAATGAGGAGGCAGTAGCATTGACTACACAGTAGCAAAGGGTAGATAGTGAACGTAAGCATTTTTACAGGCGTCTTAGTATCTGTCTGTAAGCACTAGGCCCCTCCATGTTTGTGATGCAAAAGCAGCCAAAGACACCATGCAAATGAGTGGGAGACCAGATTTGCTCACTCTCTAGTTTGCTGACCCCAGATTGAGGGTTTATAGGGTGTCCCAGATATGGGTGCCCATCCCCCAGGGAAGCATTTCCCAGGGTGCTCTGCTGTGTGTTGAAGAGCCAGAAATATGTCCTATCCTACCGGTGGCTTCTGGGTGGAGTGAATGTGAGAGGCTGTGGGTCCCACAGGAGGGGGCCAGTGCTCCTCTCCTTTGTGTAGAGGGATTCCTCCGTCCAAGGTGGCCACAAGAGACACTGCACGGACCCATAGGTGTGACAATGTTTCTGGTGTC